AAGCCCCTGACTCAAAGAACAGATACCTGTTGGGAAAGGGAGAGGGCATTTGCTGTGACTGATGGTGGCCCCAGATTTTTTTTCCAATTCCCTTATATAAAAAAGAGGAAAGGGACTGAGCTGCTCAGAAGTTGTTTCATACAGAGAGCTGTGGTGATTCTCATTTATTCCTTTATCAAGAAACTAAATCCATCATCTATTTCACCCACAAGAAACAAATATATGATAGAATGATAAAGAATGCAGGTCAATCTTCTGTTTCTAGAGACAAAAACAACAACAACAACAACAAACCCTGTAGCTTCACACATGCACACAGAAGAGATTTTTCTCTATGTTAACTTCATAAATCATGAAGTTCAAAATAATGTGGCTGGAATCTAGTTAAAACTTCGTCCACTTTTTGAGTACACCTGCGTATATGTATATGTGCAATTCCAATCTTCTTGGTCCATAATTCTCTTAAATTATGTAGGAGAGATTATATACTTAAATTCTCACAAATATTTTGCACGCATTTGTAAGGATCCAGTGCCCGGAAGTACATTTTGCAAAATGACACTTCTCAGCATAGCACAAGGGTTTACTTATTCTCTGCATGAGGATTGCCAAGAGGAAGCTAATTAACATGCTAAATGCTCACTTCTATTTATGAAACTGGCGCAAGTGTTTGGCTTTCATTTAACATGTACATGAAATTCTGACATATACTTGCCCTCTCCTTTCTACACTTAACACTGGTTCAAAATACTCTCAAAATACCTTTTGTTTCTATTTTTATGACAGTAGACACATAAAGGGTACTTAATTCAGGCTCTTGGAGATGTTACTTCAGCCTGATTTCAAGGGATAAAGCATATCTAAGTAATGAAAATTTAGAGGCCCAGAATGTTGCTTCAATTATTAGCTTGTCTTGGTAAACATGATGGTTTTTACTATTAAAATTGGACACTTATTGGCTTCTCACTTCTCCATCAGCACTGATTTCTGAGAGTTCGTGGCAAATGCTGCAGAAAATTCAGCTTCTTCCCTTTTTTCAGGCAGTGGCAAACACATCTTTATTAGGAGTTGGATGAAAGAGCTCTATATTTCTCAGAGCCTTTCCCTTTAAATTATTTCTGGTAGAGGTTGGATTTGAGGTCTGCCTCTGACTTGCTAAGGGCTATTTATGATTTATTTCAACCTTTAGCTGGCTCTAGGGGGAAAAAATGAACAAAGTTGAAAATAAAGAACAGGAGAATCTAATTCCCAGTGGTACCCCAGTGGCAGGGAGCCTCCTGACTCTTAGGATGGGTGCATTGTTTAAATTTTGATACTTTTATTTTTTCCCTCTCAAAAATAAAATTAAAATCATTCATCATTTTTAATTAGAGAACAAGTGCCATCATTTTTTAAAGAGAACAAATTTCAAGCTGTGAGTCTTTTAATGTAGACTGGTCCTCTGAGACTTTTCTGAAGCACTTGGTGGAGAAATTTTAAACCCAGTCAAATATTTTTCTTAGGAAAAGTGGTGATAGGTCATGGTGAGATATGTGTGTCATTAAAATTTCATTGAGGTCCCTAACACACCAGAGTCACTATAACATTGACACATGGACTATAATATCACCAAAGAAGCATTTGCTATCCATCACAGCTCTGAAGGGAGCTGTTACAGTCTATCAATGTAATAATCTGCATGTTAAAAAGTCCCTAAATATGTATTTACAAGATAGTCAGATTTGCTTTGGTCTGCTGGGTCAATAATCCATGTGCTAAAAGTCCCTAAATATGTATTCACAAGATAGACAGATCAGCTTTGGTTCACTAAGTCAGGGATAAGTAGGTGTTTAAAAAGGTGCCTATGTAGTTGCATAGTTTGCATTTTAGCAGGTTCAGAAATGTGGTTGTTAAAGAGCATGTTTATTATGGTAGTTCCAGGGGATGCCAGAAGCTATCTTTCACTCTGCTCTAGGATACTTTGCTCTATGATGTATTTTTTTAAAGTCAGACCAAAAATAAATAAATAAATAAATAAATAAATGAAATTAAAAAAAACCATCATAGCACACACAAACTGTATTAAAATTATGAGGCAAGAAAAGGAAACACAGAAATTTAGGCACAGCAATTGGGGCCAGGGTAGATATGCTGTCTTTCCAAATTGTGTCTTACCCTATCTACCACCACTATCCAGGTCCGAGGCTCTTCTTCCTCTCATCTGACTGCCTGGCTTTACTTCTGTCAAGCTCATCCCAGTAGCCAGAGCAGCACTCCATAGAGCCAGAATATGGCCCTGATCTGCTCTAGCCACCATCCATCTCCTAGCAAAAGCCAAAGGCTCCCAAAGTAGACCCTTTCTCACAGATGCACCTGTTCCTATTCTGGTCCTCTGTGTGCTGCTGGAGCACCCTACCTCTTTGCTGATCTCTGAGCTCACCATCATTTCCTGCTGTAGGCTTTTATACTATACCTTCCCTCTTTCTGAAAGCTCCTTCCACATGGCTCCATCTGTTACTTTCCTCATGTCTCTCCTGATAGAAGACTTTCCCCACCACTGTGTGTAAGACAGAAACCTCCTGTCCTGCTACCAAACCTCCCCTTTCTGATACCCATGCTTGTTGATCTCCATTAGCAATTGTCATTATCTAAAATAATACTTCTTTATTTACTTATTCATTGTCCATTCTCCTTCCTTTAGAAGTTTAGCTACACTAGGGCGGGAACTGCATAAATCTATTCTTTGATAGGTTCCTGGTACCTTTTAAGTGCTCGTTCAATACTTATGATACAAATGAATAAAAGCAGATGAAAAAAATTAGTCTTTTTTTATTTCCTTAATTTCTAGGATGATGTTTATTCATGTTTAGGTGAAGGAAGAATACAAATCTCTGCTTGACCACCACAATTCAGTTTCTTGTAATGTTCTTTAAGTGGCACAAATCTGGTATTCCCTGAAGATGCTCATCCACTCTACCCCCAGAGCTGCAGGGTTATGGTAGAGCTCCCAGAGGAGCTGGTCCCAAAAATGCTCCATCAGTCTGCTTCTTTGTGTAATAGTGATGTGCCAAACATAAGGACAGGATCAGCATTTTGTGATCAGCCCAATTAAAGTAGTATCCTTAACAGACTCTGGTGATGATAGTGGACTGACGAGATTTTACAATCTGTCACAATTGTGTGGGATAGCAAGTGTCACTCTATGGGTGTGTCATTAACTATAACAAACTGAAGACGACTGGGTAGATTCCTCATTCTCTTACATTTGGTGAATTGTCCCAGGGGCATCCTCCCTGTCTCTACCCACTCCTTTAACTTGCCTGGTGTTCTCATAATGCATCCTTTCTCATGATTGAAGACTGTCATAGCAAATCCTTCCTTATTTAAATTTCACAGGAACATTCATTATTTCAATCACTTAGAAAGGTGCCTTTGGCAACAAGAATCACAGCTGACAGCAAATTAATGACTATAATGCTGTGATTAGTTGAATTACAGGCTACAGTGAGCCTGTCTGAGCACTCATCACTGGCATTTTCCTAATGGGAGACTCTACTTAGGATTGATAGTGGTCACAAAGGAGGATGTGGTTCAGCTACAATAAGCTTCATAGAATTGAAGAAAATCTGTCTGCATTGTGCTTCTATGACATGCTGATTAACTAAATGCATTTTTCTTGTTAACCTTCTTATCTTAAAGAAGTCTTTCTCCTATGCCCTCCCCTAAAACAGGAACATATTCTGAAGGAACTTCAAGGCACAAACTCAATGAAAAGTTTACGTTATCTTGATAATTCCAGGCCCAAACCCAAAGTTTTCATTAATTGAAGTAAAAAGAGTTTACTCTTGAATTATTTTAATTTCATAATTAATTTTGCATGCATGTAGACAAAACTTAATGGATACTTCAATGCATGCCAGTACTTGAGGACATTTATAAAATAAAAATTTTCAACCTAATGATGATGAGAGAAAAAAATTAACATCATCAATGACAACAAAACCACATACTCAGATGTTAGGTGTCACTGCACATCCTGCCAAATCTGGCTGTAAAGAAATGATGATTTCTGTAACTGCTAGCAATGGCTTTTGCAGGGGGAAGATTTCAAATAAACGTGTATTTGCTTTAGGCGAGCTTCACTGAATTGGCCTTATTTGATTTCAGGTTCTCCTAAGAGAAAAGATTTCAGGATTTCCTGGTTGTAAAATGGAAAAGAACACTTTGCTGAACTTGTATGACATCATCTGAAGCATCCAAAGGGCAGATAATCTTGGGTTCTCTGCCTATTTACCAAAGCTTCTTTACCTCCTCAATCTATTTTATTTCCAAATGTCAGAGTAGTCTGAAACCTTTCAAAGATTTATAGACTGCAGAAGCAGAGGAAATATTAGGATAAATCCTTTAACTTTTGTGAAAGCTCTGAAAATAATTAGGACCTTTTGAAGTGTTACGTGTTTCAGTACAGGCTCTCTACCACTATAACATGAGAAGGCCAAACAATTTAACAACAAAGGGCAGCAGGCCATTTCTACATCTAAAATACTTATGAAAATGCTGTTTAGAGTACTTACCTAAGTCACAAATAAAGAGAATATGGAATGTGTGAAAGATGATGTAACTAATATAATAAAATTTACTTTATTGATTAAAATCAGAACACTCGAGAATGAATTAAAAATAGTAATCACAATTTTGGCTTTAAATATAATTATCTTTCCAAACTCTACTTAGAAATCTGCTTATATTACAGAAAGAAGAAAAAATATAGCTGCTATAAAATTGCATATAAAAGGCAACAAAATACAGACAAGTTATTTTCAAACTTATACTATAAAAATATGTTCCTGTGTACTTAAAATGGAAACAAATAGCTAAAACAAATACTGTTCAAAAGATCCTACCCTAGATATATAATAGGCAAGATATTTCTTACAGTAATACATTAGTTTCTTTATTATGCAAAACCCTTCAGCCGTAACTTCATGAAGAAATGTGAAGTGGTCTGAAAATGATCTCACCTCATATTCAAAGTCCTCTGTTCTGTCTGCATCAGCAGGCAAGCTGGAAAGATACTCGTTGTCCTCATAAAATTCATGGTCCATCGGATGAAGAGAATGGCAGCTATGGGGAATGCAACAATATGGTACAAATGGATCAAAAGGGTTGTTTTCAAGATTAAAACTGGTTTTAGATTTCACTTTAGTTTTCTCTGCTTTGGAATAAGAACTGTAGCTATCTAAGAGAGCCAACCCTTCAAACAGACTACAGCTCAGAAAAAGCAATTGCTTTTCTCTCTCATCTCCATGAAGTCCATCGATTTGCTATTTCTAAGAGAACACTAACAGAAGGGCCCAGGTTGCAGTGGCATTCTGTGAAGGGACCGATGGAAAATCTTCCAGGGTGCATGATGCTTCAAGTGATATTTTGACCTGACTCCGTTCTATTGAGTGTTACCTGTTCACATGGGTGTGTGGCATTTGACACTGCAATCTATCCAAAAGGATATATTTTGGAGCAAAGCACTACCAGTTTCAAAATATACAGCCCCAAACAGTTTTTTTGAAAGCCATTTTCAAAAGCTCATATTTTTCAGACTATAGAATATACTCCATTACCCTCATTCCTTAAGACATCCCTCCTCCCTTGCCCTCATAGCCCATATTTTTCTGTCTTTGATAAAGGGCACATGCTCAAATAGTAAAGAGTACTCATTGGTCTTAACTCACTGGAAGCTCCTATAAGCCACAGTTTTCAAAATCCTTTTGTAACATTTCCAGTGACAGAGAAAATAGATTAGGTAAAGCAAATGTGGGAACCTGGGCATTACTTTTTTGTGTATCCTTCAAGTTTGGGAAATATTTAAAATAATTTATAGAGGTGATATTTGAGTTACTATATGTTCTGATATAGATACTATACATTTCACTAAATGAAAGTTAAGCATACTTTACTAGGAAAGGGTATAAAGCCATCTCTAGTTCTAAAAGTCATTGAAAAATTGTTGTCATATTGAAACACTGGTTGCAGGTATGACCTCTAAATCTTTTCATTGTGGACATTTTTGAAAAACTGGGTTAGTAATATAAATTAGTTCCCTTTTTGCTGGCTGAAAGGTGAGAGAGATGCATCCTGATACCTTCCTAGGGTTACTATAAATACTCTATCACCATCTTTTTACTATCTCTGTGGCTATTGGTTCCATATAAGGTTAAGCAAAAAATAGCAAAAGCATCACTATGCAGCATTCTGCACCAAGTCTGCTGGTCTGCCAGGTAGAACCTCCTTGCTTGGATCTAGACTGACTCTGAAAAGTCTCATAGAGCTGGGAGAAGGTCAGAGCTCACTGTTTGGGGGCATTTGGTGTGTTTTCCTGGTCTTTTGGTTAGTAAGAGTGGAACTCTATCATGAGGAATACCTTATTCATTCAGTAAGCGTTTATTGAGTGTCTACCAGATGTCAGGCTCTATGTTAAGTGCTGGAAATACATTGGTGCACAAAATCCAATTTTCTCCCAATTAATTGTGTAAAGTAGCACAATAGCAATTTCAGAGCAATGATTAAAAGGAAGACATGGAAACAGTGCAAACACATGATGAAGATGAACCTATTGCATTCCTAGGAAGTTTGCTGGAAGAGGTCGCCTGTAAGCTAAGAGCTGCAAGATTTAGGAAAAGCAGCACAGCACAAGGGTCAAGGGAGTGGGCTCAGTGGTCAGACCTCTTAGTCTTACTTAGAATCCTGGCCCTGTCTCTTCCTTCCTGTGTGGTCTTGGCCACATTACTTAACCTCTGTTTTCTCATCTGTGACATGGGGATGGTAGTAATATAATGTGCTTCCTTATCAGGTTGTTGTGAGGTCTAAATGAGGCAATAAATATAAAATACTTGCAATATTACCTAAAATGTGTTCAGTTGGCTAATAAGAGTGAAATATTATTATTCATTTAAGAAAATATTTATTATGTCAAAAGCTACACTAATAAATATTATATATTTCTTTCTTTGTTTATCATTCATCTCCTCCTCTAGAATATAAACTCCAGGAGGTAGGGGCTTTATTCTTGCTCATAGTTTTATACCTAATACCTAGTGCCCATGCATGACACAAAGGACTATGAATCATGTAGTTACATGGAGAGCATGCAAACAGAGCCACGGCCCTCCTGAAGTTGAAGTCTCAAGGAGTAGTTTCTAAAGCCTGGCTGTACATTAGAAATGCCTAGGTAGATTATTTTTTTTGGGGGGGGGTGTGAATACTGGGGATTGAACTCAGGGCCACTCGACCACTGAACCACATCCCCAGCCCTATTTTGTATTTTATTTAGAGAAAGGGTCTCACTGAATTGCTTAGCGCCTCGCCATTGCTGAGGCTGGCTTTGAACTAGCTATCCTCCTGTCTCAGCCTCCCAAGCCGCTGGGATCATAGGCGTGCGCCACTGTGCCTGGCTGCCTAGGTAGATTTTTGAAAATTTTTGTTGCCTTGGCTCCACTCTAAAAATTCTAATGTAATTAGCCTGTGGTGGGATAAGGCATTGATAGAGCTTCTCAAAGTTCCCACGTGATTCACATGCACACCTGTGACCCACTGAAATAGCTTATAGAAGACACTAAAGGGCAGAGACGTGGCAAGATCACTTTTGTTGACCAAGTAGAGAATGGATTAGAGAAGGCAATAAAAATGAAGTCTAAAGAGAAGACTGCTCTTATAAATCAAACTCTTGTTAATCTTTGAATATTTGCTTAAAAGCTCAAAGAACAAAATATATAGGTCAAAATGCACTTCCAAAGCTATACATGTAAGAGTATTTGAATTAAAATCTAACTGCCTTAAAACAAGGTAAAAATAGAAAGGAAATTTTTCTTTAATCACTCCGTATTTCCTAGCACTCTACTTACTGTGTGACAGTCAGGACCCTTTGTTTACATCTCAATATATTGGGTAATTGGTTTCTTTAGAGAATTGCACTTTAATTAAATTAGTTTTCTAGATTCTCTTTTAAGAGAAAAGCAAGGGAGAGAGAGAGAGAAGCAACCCACAGAGGAGAGTACAGTGCCAACATGTCACTTCCACCTGAGTCTTAATAAGATTTTTGGCAGCTTTGGTGAGAAAAGCTATTTCCCTGACCAGTGCTCATGAGTAGAGAGAGGCTTTTGAGGGCTGGAAGTATATAGATGAGCTAATCAGAGCCAGAATTTTTTTATTGTATCTCAGCAAGCGTGATTGCAGAGGAGAAGCAACTGGGTGGGTCAGGAGGGTAGCTAGCAGGGACAATTAAGGACTTGTTGGAGGCAGGCACAGTGGAGAGATTTTCCAAACAGAGCTGGGAGCCTGCTTCCATAGTTGACAGCTTGCTGAGGGGACTGATTCTTTCCAATACCTGCTTTCAATGGCAAACAACAACAAACAGGGCATGGAGACAAATGACAGAGAAATACCTGTCTGATAGCAGAAATGGACAGATGTCTGGCACTGGAGGGGTAGGTGGCCGAAGCTTGGCCAGGGCCATGATGTGTTCAAAGGTGATGTCAGTCTGGGTGCTGGCATTCATGAGCTGCACTTCCGGGACCGTTCCATAGGTGGGTCTATTGAGAGGAGTTCTCCTTAACACCTGCACCACGATGGGCTCCTTGGCGTTTCGAAAAGCTTCCACTGCCTCTTCATGGGTGGCCTTTGAGAGATCCTTCCCATTGACCTAGGAGGATATAAGGACAGTGTTCATCTTGGAGGAAAGAATGGGAGGGGGGCATCATGACAGATTAGTAGACAGTGGAGAGGGGAGATTTCAGCCAGCTCTGATAGGAATTGTTAAAGGAATATTTAATCAGACATTGACATTTACCAAACTCTTTCCCAACACGAGGAAGTGAAGATCAGTTTTGTAACTTTATGAAGTATCTGGATTTGATTAATAAAATACCATCACAATTATTAGTAAAGATTTACAAATTTAAATAACACATCAGTATCAGAAGGTGTTCCCCAAACCTCAAGATAGGTAGAAATTAAATATATCCTTTGTAAAAATGATCAACAAATCACCTGGTGGTATTTTCAGCGTTTAATCAAAGTCTTACTTGTCTGAAATATGGTTTTTGAGAATATTATTACATTTCCTTCATATTCATCTTTTTAGCCAAGACTATGTTGTTGCTCATGTGAATTCTATCAGAAATCTTCACTATTCTGAGTGTGGCCAGCATCTTCAGAATCATTGAAGAGATTTTTACACATATAGAATCCCTGGACCTAACTGAGACCTACTGAGTCAGGATTGGCATTTTAATAAGACCACAGCTGATTTCTAGCATGTGAAAGAAGCGCTGCTCTGAACACCTCTGAAACAATTTACTTGGCATCCCTTTGCATCCTCACCTGTCTCAATTTATACCCAGTTATGACCATTCAAGGTAGCCCTGGTCATAACAGAGAAAAAGGTAAAGTTTGCATCTGTTCTTGGTCATGCCCTGCAGCAAGGCACAACCACTGGCATTTAGGAGAGAAAAAAAAATTCTTCTTTAGGTGTGACTCTCCCACAGCTGCCTACTGAGGGCCAGGGATATTTCCCAGCCTTGGTAGCACACAAAACATCTGCACACTTTCCTTAACCCTTTCTCAGGGGCAACACAGACTGCTTTGACATAGCTGTCCATTTATTTTGCTAAAATAGGTCCTGAGACACAGCTTCAGTGGAAGTTGTGTTTTAATAAAGGACTCTAGGATCCTGATATAGCTTCATGACTCCTATCCTAAATGAATTAATAATGTTGGTTTTTGCCAAAGCAAAGAGAAATTTGGTGACCCAGTCCTGTGCCCAGTACCCTGGGAATTATAACATTTCTAGACAGATAACTAAGCTACCTCCTTGTTGGTAAAACACTGATATCTGTTAGGCAGTAGCAAACCCTTAGACATCCCAGGGTGCCTAAAAAGAACAAAGGGAAATGTAGTGATTTGGATGTGAGGTGTTCCCCAAAAGCTCATGTATGAGACAATGCAAAAGGGTTCAGAGGAGAAATAATGGAATTGTGAGAGTCTTAACCTGATCAGTGAATTAATCCCTGATGGGATTAACTGAGTGGTGACTAGAGGCAGGTGGGCTGTGGCTGTAGGAAGTGGTTCATTGGGGGCATGGCTATGGGGTATATATTTTGTATCTGGAGTCTCTCTCTGCTTCATGATCACTGTGATATGAGCTGCTTCCCTCTTCTGCTTTGATGTTCTGTCTCACCTCAAGCCCTGAGGAATGGAGCCGGCCTTCTCTAAACTAAGAACTCTGAAACTGTGAGCCCTCAAATAAACTTTTTCTCCCCTACAGTGATGCTGGTCAGATCCTTTAGTCTCAGCGGCGAAAAAGCTGACTAAAACAGGAAATCAGTGAGATGAGATTGTAGAGCAATTGCTGACATTCAGATGAACACATTCTCTCTTCCTGAATACACAAAGGGTAGGTATGCACTCAAAGCAAGAATGGGGCATTTGAGGGTAAATGACACAATGCCAGGTGGAAATGGGCATGTTATATAGAGACAGGCTTAATGACCTGCACGATCTAATTTACTCAATGGACCCTGAAAGAGTTAATGTGCCTTCAAAAAATGAGCAATTAGGTTTCCATGGCACAAAATCAGTCCTAGTTCAGTCCCTGGATCACTAGTAAGAACCCGCACATAGAAATCCAAGTGGGTGCCCAATAGTGTGCAAGTATTCACTAGTCTGTGCACTCCATTTCCTATTCTTTCCTCCATGGAATAAGCTTGAAAAATTGTCACTGAATTTTCATCGACACCATCTTGTGATGTCTGAGTTGGGCACATGGGACACAGCAACACAGGGTACCTACAAATATGGTTGTTCATTCTTGGAGGCAAGCCAGGTGCTCTGGGTCAGGGCCAACACTGCCTCCCCTGAGGATGTGTAGTCAGCAAATCAGAAAAGAAAGCCCAGAATTAAGAGGCATAACCTAATATCTTGCCCCTCAGGTTGAATGGTATCAACCCTCTATTTCTCCTTGTGGAAAGTGTTTATCAATTCCAGATTATTGAATATGACAAAGTGGCATTTAAGACTGCTGAGTCTATGCAGTAAATCAGACTTGTCCTCTTGTCTCCAGCCTTCAGCTTCATGATGTCCTTTCAGTTTAATGAAGACCCACTCTTGCAGTGTTCCATACCCTTCCTTCTCTGAAATAAACTCTCAGTCATAATCTACCAACTATTTAACATCTATTGGATCTATGTCATTAGGTTACCTTTTCCTAAAACCTTGCACCAAGAACAACCTCTAAAAATGGCAGAATAAACTAAAGGAATTGCCTGCCCATTTTGAAGTTACTTTAAGCATTATCTGAAGATAAAGGGAAAATTTGTGGCCAGGATTTCTTCCAATCACACCTTAGAGCCTATTAGTGGATAAAAGGTTTCAGTATATAGTAGACAATGCCATGAACCTATTTTTTTTCCTTAGGTGGCTGAGAACTTTGCCTATGTCAATTTAGTCTTGGTGTTCAGTACACTTATTTACTTTGGTGCCCTTCAAAGCGAGAACACGTTTTGCAAAAGTAAGTTTCCCACTGATAACGATTATTTATTTTGTGTTCCTATGTGCCAAGTAAGATTATTTTTTGACAAATTCAGATTGAACAATAATTTCTGCAGAAACAAAAAAATATGCAGGAAAAGTATTTTAAGCTGAGAAATCATTAGTTTTTATTACAATGTTTTGTATAGGCAGACAATTGGCATCATACATAAGATCAATAGCTATCAATTCTATGACCTGTATCCATTCATTTATGATGATGGCATTTATATGCAAATTTTATTCTTTGCTGTGACAGTCAAATATAATCTTAAAAAAGAACAGGAAATGCAATCTCAAATATCTTCCTTCCCGATTGGGAAATGCTCTTTTCTTCCAGTTGCCATGCCGCTGACCTCTATTTTCATAAGCTATTTAATATCTCTCAAAGTAAAGAAGTCTATGACCTTTAAAGGCTCTGCTGCCCCACGTGATCTCTTAGAAAATGTAAGCACTGTTAATACTAAACACACTTTTTTTCACTTCACTTGAAGTTCATCAACATAGTGTTAGCCTACAAAAAGGTCACCATTTTATAAATTAAGCCTTTCACAACAGAAAAAAAAAGAAGAGATTAATTGGGATTTTCTGGCAGTTGCTTTGCTTAGTTGTCTTCAGTTACAGCTAGAGAGAATAACAACACGGGAAGAATATCTAATGTTATAGGAAAATTCTGGAGTAAGTAAACAAATAAATTAGTGGTAAAACTTCATTTTTTCAAGTGGTTAGTTTCTAAACCAATAAGGAATTTGGATGTCATGGTGCCATACCTTTATCATTCTGTGTCTTTAGCACTATGTTTACAACCCTGACACTCTTTTTCTTCTCCTCACCTCTTATTCCTTCTCTAAATATCAAATTTGGCTTGTATGTATGAGACTAGAGATGGAGAAGCCTTCTATTAAAGGTTTCCCACTTGGTAACTAAGGGTACATATCCAAGTTTCTTTTTCTCCTTCTTCATCATCTTATTCTTATTCCTTTTTATTATTATTTTAAAATTATTATTATTATTTTTTAATTTTTTATTATGGGTTGTTCAAAACATTACAAATTTCTTGACATATCATATTCCACACTTTGATTCAAGTGGGTTATGAACTCCCACCTTCACCCCATACACAGATTGCAGAATCACATCAGTTACCCATCCATTGATTTACAAATTGCCATTCTAGTGTCTGTTGTGCTTCACTGCCTTTCCCATCCTCCACCCTCCCCCCTCCCCACCTCTCCCCTCCCCTCCCCTCCTCTCTCTCTACCTCCTCCACTGTATAACCCTGAGGGTCTCCTTCCATTACCATGCAATTTCCCTTCTCTCTCCCTTTCCCTCCCACCTCTCATCCCTGTTAAATGTTAATCTTCTTCTCATGCTCTTCGTCCCTACTCTGTTCTTAGTTACTCTCCTTATATCAAAGAAGACATTTGGCATTTGTTTTTTAGGGATTGGCTAGCTTCACTTAGCATAATCTGCTCTAATGCCATCCATTTCCCTGTAAATTCTATGATTTTGTCATTTTTTAATGCAGAGTAATACTCCATTGTGTATAAATGCCACATTTTTTTTATCCATTCGTATATTGAAGGGCATCTAGGTTGGTTCCACAGTCTTGCTATTGTGAACTGTGCTGCTATGAACATCGATGTAGCAGTGTCCCTGTAGCATGCTCTTTTTAGGTCTTTAGGGAATAGACCAAGAAGGGGAATAGCTGGGTCAAATGGTGGCTCCATTCCCAGCTTTCCAAGAAATCTCCATACTGCTTTCCAAATTGGCTGCACCAATCTGCAGTCCCACCAGCAATGTACAAGTGTACCCTTTTCCCCACATCCTCGCCAGCACTTGTTGTTGTTTGACTTCATAATGGCTGCCAATCTTACTGGAGTGAGATGGTATCTTAGGGTGGTTTTGATTTGCATTTCTCTGACAGCTAGAGATGTTGAGCATTTTATCATGTACTTGTTGATTGACTGTATGTCCTCCTCTGAGAAGTGTCTGTTCAGGTCCTTGGCCCATTTGTTGATTGGGTTGTTTCTTCTCTTATTGTCTAATTTTTTGAGTTCTTTGTATACTCTGGATATTAGGGCTCTATCTGAAGTGTGAGGAGTAAAGATTTGT